AAAATATGTGTGATTTATCGGGAAAGTTCGTCTCTTATCTCTCAAGATCTGTTTATTCCGTGGTTTCAACTCGATTTGCAAAAACAAATTTTGGAGTTGTAGCGTGCAGACCAAGGAACTAGGTACGTTTTCTCTCTGAATCTCTATGAACATCGATCGTGTCTGTGTGCATATGTTTTAATTGATCGTATTTTAAAACGAGATTGTTGATTCCATCTTTTTTCCTACTTGATTATTAGGTCAGATTCTCTTAGTTGCGACTTCAGAGGAAATAAATCAAAGTATTTAAACTTGGAATCGGGTAATACAGAGATGTGCAAAGCTCTAGGGTTCGGGTAAGTTATTCTTTTATCATCGTTTTATTATTTAAATATATATGTGTATTTTACATTATTCTTGGTATATAAGTAATGAATAAATCAGTAACATATGTTGATCCATGAGTTCGACAATAAATTTATATACAGCAAANGATCGGAAATTCTCGTTTATTGATATTAACTCGGAGACGGGCTANTACATAGAGAACTGTACATGCTAGAAAAAGATTTTGTATTGAGCTCGGAAGCTTAGGTCGGCTGACGAACCTTGTGTTCGGTTATCCGAATATCTGGGTGAGTTTATGAGAGCGTCGCTTTCAAGGTCGGAACCTGTAATTGAAAACGAGATCGGGTTAGAGATCCAAACTGACTGAATAACTGGACGACGAGGTCGGTGAATCGGAGGTNGGAACCTGATGATAAGTGCACTCGAGGTCGAAATGCCGGTGTGATAAGTACGAACTCTGCGCAGCCTTTCCACGAGTAGTTCTTGTCCTTTCTGACCAATCAGGCTCGATCAGGTGATTATTTCCCTTCTGGTGTTAGAGAATGATTGCTTTAAGCTCTCAAATTCCCTTGTACTTGCCCAAAAGTGGAAAAAGTGGTCCTTTCCTCATGGGATGGGGACCCCTATTTATACTAAAAATGGAGAGAATAAGGTACTAGGGCTTCCTTGGGACCAGTGCTGATGTCATTCAATGCAAGGGGCGGCTGGGCTTAATTTGGGCTTGAATCATCAGTTGCTTGGGCGAGCTCGGCAGACTCCCTCCTTCTGGGCCGAGTTCGTCATGCTTTCCTATTCCGGGCCGAATGTTATTGGATCATTCTGTTCGCTGGGCCTTTTTCGGAAATGGGCTTCAAAAGTGGCAATATTGAAGCCCATGCCCAACAACATATGATCTATAATGCTTGATTTGTGATAATTGCATTGAAACAGTAACCCTTATAAAATGGAAGCTTTGTGTGTAACAGGAACTCAACAAGGAGATGAGAATTGTCGGTGAAAGCTTCTTTTTGCTCAAGCCATAACCTGACATCGTAAGTTTAAATAAATATTTATATGCTTAATTTTGTTGATATGTGTAAAAAGTCTCCTCCATTAGCGCATTGTTCAATTTTCCGTAACTATAGCCTCTCACTAATTTTACTCACTAATTTTACTTTTTTTATAAAGTATTTTCACGCTCTTGTTTTTATGGCAAGGTTATTTTCGATCTTAAAAATGTTTTCGAATTTCCAAATTAATTTGACTAAAATAAATTTTGTTTTTATCAAATTTTAATTAAAGAAATTTGAGTGTTAAAATTACTTAATTGTAAAAAAATTTCGGATGTGGAATCCTGTCATAGACTTTGTCTTTGATCATTAGAAGTGCCAACTTCGTTTTGTCAATATAATATTATGCAAGTTAAGCACTCAGATTTCTGATATACTTTTTATCTACCTATTTTTGATTTCCGGATTTTAGTCAAAGAAATATAAATGTTAAAAGTACATAATTGTGAAAACTATTCGGATGTGGAATTCTATCATTGCGTTTGTCTTTGGTCGTTAGAGGTGCCAAGTCTGTTTTGTTAACACATTATAATGTAAGTTTGACATTCAATTTTCTAATTTTTGTTTCACTAAATTTCAACTTATTTTGTAAATAAGACCGTAACGGTATTTTACTCCGTTGTCTCGAGACGACGGAGTAAAGTACCGTTACGGTGGTTCAAATGAATGAGACGCAACTTCGTAGAGGAAGAGCAATCGGTAAAACGCCATCAGTGAAGGTTTTTAGGTTAAAAAAACTTGAAATCGAGAGGTAGAAGATGAAGTTGGTTATTGAGAAAATAAAAATAAAAGGTATTTATACGAAGAAAGTAATTAAATATTGACCGATTACATGAGACTCCTACAGTTTCGTGATTTTTGCTATAAAAAAAAACAAATACTGTTAGGGTGAAGAAGGAATCTCAACCGTTGGATTAATAAAAAAATGTTTTGCTTTAGTGTGGAGTAGATGACAGACGATTATGGCTCTGCGATATTTGGGTTTTTTAGCTAAAAAGCCCACTATGGCCCAGTGCTTTGGTTTGCCGTTACATTTCAAATTATTGCAACTTCGTGTTATGAACTTGATTAAATATTTCATAATCAATTGGTATTGTTAATAAC